ATTGGGCACCTTGGACGCTTGACCCCGTCCAAAGGACGTGAGATCCGATGAACTGCACACCGGCCTTCAATGGATTGCGGTTTTCACAAACTGCTCCGCTGCCTTGCGGGTCAGGCTTAGGCTAGCCAAAGGCTCCGGTTGTGGGTTCCTCAAGAAAATCCACCTGCGTTGGCCTGGGCAACCTGGCAGCCCACAAGCCAATCATGGAAGATTTTTCTTTTTTATAAAGATTGTTGTACCATGGTTTGTTTAGAACACAGTCTGTCCTCAGACTAGTGTGAAATATAATATAATATAATATAATATAATATACGTGGTTGAATTCAACCTTTTCACGTTATCTCTTCAACTGTGTACAAACATTCACCTGTGAAAGTTCGATCAGGACAATGACAAATCTTTGAACATTAAAAACATTCGACTAGGCAAAATCAGTGCGAAGGTCAAAGGTCACCAGTAACAGTCGGCTTAAACAGAGGGATAGAGTGGGAGAACATGTTTATCGATCGGAATCAATGTGACAGCCCTACCATGGGAGGGTGAGGCTAGCCACAAAGTCCAGTTGTTTGCAGAGGTCTGGTTTGTGACGTCGAATGGCTACGGCCTCAGCAAACCGTAAAAACAGCCCAATTTTCTGGTGGTTTAACACTCGGAATGCTTGCTTTGGATTGATGCAAATTTACAACCGAATATATGGTGGGCAATAGAGCTGGAGGGGATATTTGAGCCGTTGAGCGCTAAATCTCTCAGGACATGTTCCGAAATCCGAGTGACCAAGTGTCTCTCAGTTCTTCCAATATACTTGCTACCGCAAGTGCATGGAAATAGGTAGATATACGAGGAAATAGCTTGAGAGTTCAGCTTGCCCAAGTTGGATTAAGTGATCATACGTCTGCATTTATGGAGAATACTTAACGAAGCGGCATTTTAAGTTCTTGAAAGAGCCTGTTTCAGTCGACGTTGTGAGATTTTCTCATTCTGATCACCTTTAAAGGGTAATGCGATGAAAACGTTCTTCTTCGGTTCGTCTTTTCTCCTAGTTCTAATCTCTATGTTGTTGCCATAGTTCGCAAAGAAATTCCGCGGATATCCGTTATCCTGTAATGCACAGGATAGCAGTTCAAGATCGTTTTCAAGCGTTTCCAAAGAAGAAATCCACCTCGCTCTAGAAAACAATCCCCTTACTAGGGCTTGCTTGTATTGTATTAGACAGAGGCTTCTGAAGTTCAGATACTGTCCGGTCCAAGTTGGTTTGCAGAATGTAGACCTGATGAGAGATTCATCTTCCCTTCTCGTGAGTTTAACATCCATGAATTGAGAGGAAGTCTCAGATTCATTTTCTATGATAAACTTGATGTTAGGGTGACAGCAATTCAAAAATTTTCCCAACTACATCGTATGTCACCGGATTCTTCTCTAAACCATTTGTTCCACTGTTGATCGATCCGGATTGAAGAGAACGCTCCTTGCATTTTTCCGCAGTTGAACCGATCCAATTTGCGCTTTGTTAGGAGTGAGAGATTTGAATTCTTCGCATGTTTCCCGAAAAATCAGATCCGGAACGTTCAACCAAACCGAAAGCGCTTTGTCACCGTCCATCCTGCAATGATTGGTAATTGTGATCTATTTTTCACTTGTAGTGAAAGGTCAACACAAGACGGCCGACTGTCCCCATCACAAACACGCATGCATGCGATTCAAGAGGGTACGTGCGGACGGGCTTGTGAAGTATTGTGACCAGCCATTGTCATTTGAGACAAGTTTGGTTGAATAGAGATGCATCTGAACCACGACTAAAAATTCTACTCAGCGATGTGCTTTCGTCCTAGTTCACACCCGTCTGAATCCAGCTGTGTGCCAAACAATTTACAAAACAATAATCTTGTGGGTGCCATGCCGAAGGTTTGCCCCAAAGAAGGCAGGTGAGATATCTAGGGGAATTCACAACCGGAGCATTCGGCTATCCAGAGCCTGACTTACAAGATAGCGGGGCGATGAGTGAAAACCGCTTTATATTGGGAGCCGGTGTCCAGTTCATTGGATCATACACCTTTTTGAAAGCGGTCAAACGTTCAAGGTGTCCTACACACCTCAATGCCTAATCGAGCCGGTTGCCACTACCACAACCAGAGAGGTGGGTGAGTGGTTTGGACGCTTCTTGTTTATTGGTTTGGTGTCAGGGTTTTGGGGTAACTCGTCTAAGTGAACTGCCAGTGGCTCACCGATCCTGCTATGGCCCGGGTATTCAACTCAAATCGACCACATAGCAGTAAGCTACCGTTGGTGTGGCTCAGTACCAAACTGCAAGTCCTAGTGTACCACTTGCTTTGAGTCTGATCACGCATTAGTTTTGATACAGTTCACTCCCTGACCTGCTGGTAGCAGAAGAACCAAATAAACTCAGTTGGCAGATAATCGTTTATATGAATCAGCCGTTCGTGCACGCTACGAAGCATAACTAGGACATGAGCTAAACGCGCTGCAGCATGGTAGTGTAGATAAACCATGTGGTCAGATTAAACGAGCAATTCACTCTGCAGCGAACTTTTCTTGTAGATCTGGACCTGAAGCCCGTCCGAGCTACCGGATACCTGATGGGTCAGTAGCTCTGATGTAAGAAAGCGGTAAATCGCGGCCTCCCAGGATCAAAGTAGAGGTATGTGGCGTCTCCAACGTTAGCTCAAGAGGAATCTCAAGGACAGTGAGAACTGATGGATGACAACAGCTATGGAAGTAAAAATAGTTGCTGTATCAGAGAATAATCAAAGACTGTTCCAAGTGATACGCATCAGTTAGTGAAACAAACTATGTTAAAAGTGGACAGGCTATTCACAACAGGGAATAACGGTTTGACCGATGGGTGGATTATTTCAGTGAACAGTTCAGCTAGCACTAACTAGGCTATCCCGTCTGTTATTCGAATCCCACCGAGGCTACTGAACTTTAAACAGTTCAAAATAGCAGCGATCTGGTCACTGAAGTCTCATTTAATTTATAATCAGAAACCGAGCAGTCAACGATTCCTACGAGTATTTTTCTCTGGGGGCTAGAGTTTTGGTTTTAAAGAACAACGGCGGCGTGAAATAAACGGGACATAAGGCATCAGTAACGTCTAACTAGTCAATCATCAAGTAAAACGACAAATGGATATAACCATATCGTAACACATTATTGTGCAGTACTATCGGACAGTCGGTGATACATAGTATACCCCCGAACGGATAACATCTGATTGTAGGACATTACGCACAATACATCACGAAAGTCCAATGTGAAAACAAACAAAATTGTGAATGTATGTAAACACTATGTATATATATATATACATCACATGGCGCAAGTGAGTGTTTGGGAATAGATCAGAGGGGGGGGGGGAGAGGGAGAGAGAAACAGTAAACAAGTCAGAAGAATGACTGGCGGGGGTACTAGTTAAGGATACCAGAATAAACAGAAAATGCGTTTGCAGTATGCGGTTATATGGGGTGATCGGGATAGCAAGGATAAGACATGTTAAAAGTGTCCGACTGGCTGACTGTCGGAAATGTTACTGAGTTCGATTGTGCTGCACTCGACACCGGGACAGTCACAGTGATAGGGACAGGTGCCAAATTGAAACCACTGTCCTCAGTTAAATGATAGCTACTGGTCGAGGGAGAACGCAAATGAATGCGCCGATGAGCATGTAAGTAACTATTGCTGGTGAATCGTTTACCACAATTTGGAAAATCACAAGCGTACGGTCTCTCGCCCATGTGCACATTCATATGTTCTGTCAAGCTGCGCATGTACAAAAATGTCTTACCACAACCGGGTTGAATGCAGTGGTATTGACGACGCTGAGTCTTATCCAGATGGACACGTTTGTGTGCAAACAGGTTGCCACGACGTGCAAAACGATACGAACATCCGGGATAGTCACACACGTACGGACGCTCACCGGTATGGATACGGATGTGTTCCAGGAGACGATCGTGACAAATAAATACTTTTCCACATTCCGGATAGTCACACGCGTATTGATTGCGCAATCGAGAGGGATCGTGTGTGTACAGATGAGCCAATAGCAATGCCTGATTGGCGAAACTCATATTGCAACCGGTGAATGAACAACGAAACAGCTTGACCACTCCGTGACTTTCTTTATGATGCACAAAACTGCTTCGACTGAAAAACACTTTCCCACAACCGGGATGACTGCAATAGTACCGATGCATGAAATCCACTGAGNTCCACTGAGGTCACTCGTGAAGTGGTCGGACTGGTCAGATTTGAGCTAGCCAGCTCGAACGTCCCTGATGCAGTTGCACTTGTGTTCAATGTGCCACTATCACCACCGATTGGCTGCCCCGGAAGTCGTAGGGGTTCCAATGTAGAATTGGTAAAAAGCGCAGATAGGGCACAATCCATCTCTTCCTTCACGCGCAACAACTGAACGGGAGAAGCTTTTGGAATTTCCACATTCGCCGACGTTGTCGCTTGCACTGCAACATTAGCTCCATCTGATTGAACAACACATTTTCCCGGACTTGATTTGGCCAAAACTGTCTCATCTGTATCGCCCACCGAACGGTTGATACTAACTGGGTTTGACGTTTCAACACGTTTGCTGATCTGGTTCGATTGCACATCGAGCAAGGCAAGTTCGAAAAATCGTGTAGATAGCTGGGCGAGTAACACGGAAACGGCTGAATTGACCAGACCAGCCGCAAGGAATGGCAATCGTACGGACGATGCTTGAATGCAATAGTCGTTCATTGGTAATTGTTCATTGTGACCACTTAGTCCATCAGATTTCACGACCATTATCGCTCGAACGACAGAATTCGTCAATGTGGCACGTAAATTCAAGCATTCGGTATTTTAGACCGACTGCCCTGTGTTGGCGCGCGTGCGTACGCACGCAAAACCAACCAATCCATTGCCGATAAGTGTGTCTAGATGCAGTCTTGGAGATCGATATCAGTCAACTGGCGATTGGGTGAAATTTGGTTGGGCTAAGAGCTTACGCGCATGGCGCGTGACCGACAGGCGCTCATGTGGTCCGTCCCATGCCTGTGCTACCGTCCCCATCGTTGACCTGACTGTTTACAGAGAAATGAGGCTTCCGCACGGATTCAGAATTTCGGAGGCAAAACAAACTTCTCTGCTCTCTGAGAAATTATACCAGATCATAGATGATAATTCGATAGATTTCGGTAGGCTGAGCAGTTGTACCGATCGTATTGTCTGCAGTTTTATGGGCTCAGTTTTTGAACACATTCAATTAAAAATCGTAGGGGCAGCTAGTTTGATTAGCTTATAACGCTTTCGAATCCTTGGAGAGGGAACTACTGATGGCCAGGAGTGAAACAATTGCATAACTCAGGTGGCTTGGCTGATTGTCCTTTTACTTCCAGTCACCAAAACATCCTATCAAAGTGAATCAGCCAATCAAAATCGATGTTGCCTGGAATTTCATTTTCACTAAAGAGTAGCCGTTGTGAGAAATACTTAGCGTATGCTACCAGTGGCTATAGTTTGGCGAATCACAATACTTTTTACAATTCTTTTATACATTTTAAAATTATTTTTTGGTTAAGATCGAGAAGTTGTCTAAGGAGGTGAATTTTTAGCAATTTTGATTAATTTCCTGGGCTTGAAAACATGTCAGGTGGTTCCAACATGCATCGTCTGTTGACAGAACTTCAAAGTGGTGCTTGCAAGATCGCGGAGTGTTACAGAAAGAACATACATGTGTTTTTGGTCGCTCAATTCACTTTCGATAATTGCGTAAAAGCCGGAGTGGCTGTTTTCGGTGTACGAAGTGTAACGAGCATGTTTCCGGTGGTGTTGGAACCCCTTTTTGGAAGGTCTCAGTTGTACTTGCCGACACTTGTGGAATTAATCTTCAATTTTGTGATAGAAGGACCGGTCAAGCTGCTGCAGCAAACGTTTCCAGGAAGAGTGTCATAGATTGGTTTACTTTCAGTCGTGACATGCACTCTTCTCTAATGTGTCCACTGACAACAACTGGTTGGTGTTGGAGTTATTGCGGAAATCGATGAGTTTCCGTTTGCTAATTTCCAGTTTACGATCGTTGTAAGAACAAAACAGGGTTTATCTCAATTCCCTAGTCAGAAGGATGCTCGTATTTGATCTGAGTGTATTTATGCCGTCTAATTTTGTGAAAAAAATTGTGGGAATACTTTTGATTCCTCATTAGAAAACATGGTGAGACTGCAAGAAAGAAGAAATGCGTAGAGTTGAGTAGGGCATCTCACAGCTTGACAGCTTGAATCAAAGCCACAAATGCGATAGTTCGGGACAATCATTTGTTAAGTGTGGCTTGGCGCTTGTGTACGGGTTGATCTAATGAACANTGTAAATACGAGCTCGAGAGAACAGAATATATGGGGATGACGAAAAAGCGGAGGAGTGTAACAACAAATCGGCTTTTAACCGCATAGAAAAATTCAGCGCCATCTTTTACCGATGAGACAGACAACCCCACGCAGAATACGAGCCAGAATGGATAAGGGAGTCGACGAGTCCCCATCCAAATTCTGATTACATCACGTAAGCGTAAGGGTTGTTTGAGCCTAATAAGGAAATAAGATTTGGAAGGATGTGAATAAATGCTAAACATTCACACACAAATGATCTTTTTATGGACGCAAGTAAGGCAAGAGTCATTGTTTGTGGAGACCCAGATGGCTGCGAAGAAAATAGAGCGGAAGAAGAACACTGGAAAGTGTGGAACGAACAAAGAAACTTTCGAGATCGGGAGAGGGAAAGTGGGCGTCACTCAAATGATAACGAACCAACCGGGATTTTTAACGGTGTGGGACGATGCTAAGTTATATAAATCTCAGTTTGTTATTCGGCTGAGGTCGAACGGAATTCACTCCTATGCAAATGTTCGATTCGCGTCGTGAAAGATGATTTCGATGAATTGCAAAGAGAATCGTAGGACAAACAAGGATGAAAAGTGGAATCATCAGCTGATAGAGTTAAGTGCGTGGAGAGAAGATCAGTTATACACACACAAAATACAACCATGGGAAGAACACGGAACACAATCAGACTCATCACGGATTACCGAGATTTACCCGTCAACCGGGTTAGCGATGGCATAGTCACCGATTTGACCACAAATACTCAATATGATTTCCGGACGAAAACCCAACTTAGGTAATTTCGTCAGTTCATCTTCGTATCCCACTCGATCCAAAGGCCTTGGAGATATCCATGGATGATACCAGCTACAATGCACGCGGTTGCTTAACGCAGAAGACTATATGTGGTAGATGCGTGTCTTGAAATATCCAGTGAACCCTTTGCGATGAAAACGGTGCTGATGGCTACTCATGAGTGCATTGGGTTCCAAGTTCACCTGTGTTGTGAGGTACTACTCACATTTGTGAGCAGTATGGTTGAAGTGCACCAAAGGGTTTGATTGGAGGTTTCTCACAACGGTAAAAAATGAACAAGACCTCCTGGAGCGAATCGATGTGTTGAAAATTGCAACCACATATAAGGCATACCTAATGCCGGACTATTCCATCAATTATTTTGAAATTATGATTAGACTGTTTCTGAAGAGATGTTTCGGCCTATGTAACCCAATTCACCTATGCTCATATCGCTCCTCTTAGCAACTCTACACAGCTGTTACTGCTAGCTGGAAATTACAGCACTGATAGTTGTTTCGTAACAGCAGTTTCCAAGACTGCAAAGTGAACTGCGGATAATAAGATGGGACGACAGTTGTTTGATTGGAAGGGGTCATCAAGCCTCATAATTGATAAGGAATGTGGAACTTTTAATGAAGAGGACCAGCTTTGCAATGAGTTCAGACTGAAAATGCTAGAGAAATTGTGCCATCTGTGATCCACTCACTCCTTCTACATGTGTGCACGGAGCAGGTACCGGTTACTTGAAACATTTGCTGCTGCACTCTTCATCTGTCCTATCCCTGAGAAGATCCGGATCGTCAATATTCCGATATCGTTTATTTGGCTAGGCTTCCCACCTTTAATTATTTGAAGACTACCTGGCTCGCTAAACCCTTCTGATGTCGAATACTCTCGAGCCTAGATCGAGGGAAAGTATGGGCGCTTATGCGGAAATAATGAAACGACTAGTTTTCTCTTGACAACTAGCTGTTATTGTTCGCTACCCAATGGATGGGAAAAACATGGGGTTTGAATACTGGACGTATAGCTGAAGGACCTCTTTTTAAATCATTTTTACTTCCATTTATTGAGTATACGAAGATACAATTTTCAGGAAGCGGGAAGCGGCTAATCAAAGGGCTGCCCTACAACACACAGGCAATGGGGGAAAGACAGTCGGTGGTGGTGGGATTCAAACACCCGTCCTCCGGGGTGATAACTGGTAACGTTACCACCGAGCCACCACCGCCCTCCAAAGATTGAAGGAATAGGAGCCAGTTCCGATGGAATCTTAGGATTCAAATAGCGGAAGCTTTGGAAAGAAAAGTTAAGTAATGGGAGATAGCAACGGCACACACAGTAGGATTGGAAGTAAAACCGGAAGCAAAACACCTTCTCAAGTAAGCTGAAAGCAAAACTTGCTGATGGTCTAGAATTTGAGGGAACATGGATGTTTCAAAGTTACGGATAACGGTTTTTGTAGGGGACAATCTAAATGAATGGCTAGCAAACCAATAAATTAACGACCTTGCAGAGTTACTGATTATAATTGGTCCTCGTCTTTGGGATGACCTTCAGGCAATTTTTGTTGGCTTAAAAATAGCAGTCGTGGAGGATCTGGTTTAGAATCTTAGTCTAATAGATAATGCTAGCTGACCACAGTCTAATCAGAAGCCGCGGGGTTCAAACAGAAGCTGTGTAACGTCTAGAACACAAGCAGGCTACCTATATAACCAATGACATTCATTTGTACATGTAATTTAAACCCACTGTTTTTCCTCAATAAACCAACCACTGCTTCTGTGGCCTTCTTCCTGAGTCTCGGTCACGGAGGAGATTCCAGCGTACGATTGCAAGTGCGATTCCGTGTAGCATCTGCGACTGAGTTTCGTGATCCGTAATTGCTGCCTATTCCGAGTACTACACTCTGACGAATGAAGGCGTTCTGGTTTGTTTCGTAGCGCGAGCACCAGCAGAGGTGAATCGTTTGGGTGGATTCGGCTGACCAGGTTTTGTAGAAGTGCTGCACAAACATATGATAATATACTAGAGATTGCGGAGGCGGCGTGACAGTGTGAAGCTCGGTGGTGAAATCATAGTCAGACCAGGGGTGGGACGCCATAAAATCTCGCATTGTACCACCGTATACAATAGTATCGTAGCGTCAGAAATTTATTCTCTAGAGGGGACTGGATTTGGAACAGGCAAGTAATAGGGCAGTGATCTGATTTTCTAATAATAATGGATAACAAAGTGCGCGAAAATAATAAAAGTAATTGTAATTATTGTGCAGATGAAGCGCGTAAACCCCTATCATCGACACAATCAGGGCAAGGGGAGAGGACGGGGGGGGGGCAGATCAAATGAATAACAACGGTAGTGATGCGCTGGTTTCTCAGTCCATGATGTATTCGAACCACTTAGCTTTTTGCACACTGGTCACTGATACTTGCAAGGAGACAATTTACTAGGATGAATTTAACAACCTCAGTCAATCGGTCCAAAAAGGGAAAAATGAATAATATTGGGAAATCAGTAAGGATTGCAAAAGTATTGGATAAGAAGGAGAA